GTAGAATGAAGTGTTCAACACGAAGAGCTCGTATTCTACATTGAATCCTACCTTATTGTTAAAAATTCTTCCCCAAATTTTAAATAAATTCAGAATGATATAATCAATAATGTGAAATTCCAACCATTTCGGGGTGTTCAATAATTCTTGCAACAAAGTAAGGTAGGTATTATTGGTGCCATGCATTTTATATTTCTTAATGAACTCAGACTCTTGTACTGTGAAGTTTTGTTTTCTAACAACCAATTCTTCTGTAGAGTTATAAAAATTTGGTTGTTGATTATTCTCCAAGAATCTAAGTTCATCAAGAAAGATTTCTTCAAAATTTAATTCAAAGAAGCAAATGTTTAACACCGTTTCATTATTCTTAAGGACCTGATCTGCTTCTTCTAAAAACTTTAAGTCTTCATCAAAAATTTCCTCAAAACTTAAATTGGAGTCTTCTTCTTCTTCTGATCTTTCCTGAATATAATTTATTTCTAGAGGCTGATTATTTGGCTGGTCCCCTAGATTAAAAATATTAAGATCAGCAGTCAAATTCCCAAAGGACAGCTTCATTTGACCAGTTCTACAGTTGATGAGAGCATTAGAAGTGGCTAAGAAATGTCGTCCTAAGATAACAGGTGTCTGACCTTTGGGATTAGAAACAGGCTGTGTTTCTAAGACTACAAAATCTACTGAAAAAATAAAATCTCCAACCTTAATCAGAACATCCTCTAACTCACCCATAGGGACCTTAACAGATCTATCAGCCAACTGTAAGGTGCATTTGGTTGGGTTCAGTATACCTAGACCCAATCATTTGGTTGGGTTCAGTATACCTAGACCCAATTGCTGGTAGACTGAATATGGAAGCAAATTGACACTGGACCCTAAGTTTAAAAATGTCTTATCAATGTGAGTATTACCAATGATACATGAAATTATGGGGGAACCTGGATCTTTACGTTTCAAAGGTATGAGATTTAATAGCATTTCACTAATATTGACGGCTAAAAAGACTTTCTTTGGAACATTTATTCTCTTCTTCTTAGTGCATAATTCTTTTAAAAATTTAGCATAAGATGGAATTTATTCAATTACATCTAAGAGAGGAATATTGACCTTAACCTGCTTGAATGTTTCTAGGATCTTCTCCTCTTGAGGGGAGTGTTTCCTAAGCCTGAGTCTATCTGGAAAAGGAGCAACTGGTCTAAACCTATCAAAAGCAGGCTCAGGTTCCGGTTCAAGTTCTTGGCCTCCGAGGAGGGTGATTGTTGAATAGATTCATCAGAAGGAGAAGGAGAAGGAATTTGTACTAGATCAAAAGTTTGACTTGGGGGAGTTCTCACTTGATTATCGACCTGTCTACCTGACCGAAGTGAATGGATTGCATTCACTTGAGCTTCATAGGATGAACTGCATCCTGTGTCCTTAGGGTTGACCACGAGTTAACTCAGAAATTTTCCTTTCTCTCTTTCACTCACGGCACTAGCTAGTTGACCAAGCTGGGATTCTAATCTAGCTATAGCTTGAGTGTTGGAGTTGAGCATTTGTCCGGTTGATTGCATAAAGGAATTCAGAGTGCTAGATGTTTGATTCAACATATTCGTGGTTTGAGTGGAAGCCTTAATTATGGTTTCCAAACCCCTTTCCAAGACATTGAGACGTTTATCCTAATCTGGATTATGAGGAGTCTGAATTATAGCTTGATGAAGAGGAGACTGATTTTGATACGACAGATTGGGTTGTTGAAATTGTGGATTGAAAGGAACTGTGTTTCCCCTAGGAAATTGTTGGGTTAAAGCGGGAGTGAAGTTTTGAGTTCCGACAGAATTTCCTTGATTCCATGCAAAGTTGGGATGATTTCTCCAACCTGGATTGTAGGTTAGAGAAAATGGATCATTTCTAGGGTGCTAGAATATAGCGTTCATCTGTCCTAATGGCTGATTATTTCCTAGGAGAGGACATTCCTCTGAAACGTGGGTAGGAGACTGACAATTATGACATCCTTGGGCAGAAACATGATTGATTTGAGCTGGAGCTCGTTCCTTAACTTCTAAAGCTTCTAACCTCCGCAGAATCGTCGCCATCTTCGCTTCAGAAGGCTGGAGCTCGTTCCTTAACTTCTAAAGCTTCTAACCTCCGCAGAATCGTCGCCATCTTCGCTTCAGAAGTAATGTTTGACTCCAAGGAAGGACCGCTAGACTTAGAATTAAGGACTGATAAAACCCTATCATCACAGTGTTCCCACTGTATTATTTTCTCGGATAAACTCTCTAGAAATTCCCAAGCTTCATCTGTGTTTTTCCTCATAAAATCTCCCTGACACATTGATTCTAAAGATATTTTTGAAGAATAGTCCAATCCTTCATATATGACTTGGCACAATTGCCATTTTTCTAGACCATGATGAGGACATTGGATTAAAAGATCTTTGAATCGGTCGAAATATTTCCAGAATGGCTCTCCCGGGATAATTTAAAGTTTTGAATGTTGTTCCTTAGCTTTACCATTTTGTGAATATGGAAAATTTCTTAAGAAAAACGGTGACAAATTCATCCCAAATTGAGATGGAATTTGTCGGTAAGCTGTACAGCTATTTTTTTAGCTTTATCCTTAAGAGCAAATGGAATAAATCTAAGCTTAATCGCATCTTCGGTTAATTCTCTCATTTTAATCATAATACACACTTCCTCAAATTCCGAAATAAAAATATATGCATCTTCTGTTTTATTTCCAAGGAATTTGGGAAGCATGTTTATGTAATGTGGATTAGCCATTTGTTCAAAATGAATTTGTCCACGTTTTGCATGCACCAAAAACAATTTCTTTTTATACTTTTTTTTAAGAGAAAAATAAAAGTTAGTTTTTTTTTAAAGAAGAAAATGGAAAATCCTAACTAAAACAAATCAAAATCAATCACTTTTCAATCACTCTAACTCTTAGGGTTAGCCTAACTCAACTAGACTAGCTCCTAACCAAAAACTCCTATAGTGAAAAGATTAAAGTTTTACCCAGGTAGTTAGCCAGGTAAGGATAGTACTAGAAGGTGATCAAAGATCAATTAAGTACATCTTTCCTTGCGGAGAGCTTTACGCAACCCCTAAACCTTGCCTTAGATACCAACTAATCTGAGAAAACTTAAACCGGTTCACTTCAGGACTTCTTGTTCCTTATTGAGCTCAAGTCCTTAGGGCCAACGTCTAATGAGTTTTATTAGGCTTGGGTAGTGTAGTGAGGAATTAGTGATTTGTGGGCTAAGAAAAGGGTGATGAAATCTCTCACCTTATCTTGATTATGGGGTTTTACACTTAAAAATATTTTTAAGTGTGTGCCAAATCAAGATGCTCAAATCACTTGGTGAATTCCTACTAACAATATGAAATGCAACCCTATCAATTAAAAGCAACTAAAAAGGATGAAAAAGAAAAAAAATCTTTTTTTTAATTAGGGTTAACAATCAAACAAATGAGAAAGGGGGAAATTATTTGAATTTATTATCTTGTTAGTAAATATCAAAGTGAAAGATGGATTTTATTATGGTCAACAAAAATATTTTTTTTTAAATCCTAATTGTCTCTAATTGTGAAGCTAACTAAAAAAGGTGGAATTGAAAACGCTAGAAAAAAGACTTACCCGAAAGCAAATTTTTAAATCCTAGTTCTCCAATCCGCGATCTTCAGGCTCTAAGTATTTCCTTCACAATAAACACACAAGTTAAAGAACCAAAATAATTAAAACCTACTTAAGCACCCTCTCCGGCAATGGCGCCAAAAACTTGATGCGTCATAAACATGTACCAAAAATATTGCAAGTGCACAACCGTGTCAAGTTATAGTATAAAGATATCGATCCACGAGGAAGGTGTTTTGTAGGAGAAAATATAAAATCGGTTCTTATGTTCTGTGCGTGACAAATAAGAGTGATGAGTGAATGCGATTGTGAAGAGATTGAGAGAGTGAAAATGATGCGTAAATAGGCGCAAAATGTAAGTAAGAGTGGATGTGACAAAGAATGAATGTGATCAATAAGGCAAGAATGAATAAAACCGAGAAACAAATGAAAATCAAGAATGAAAAAATAAAATTCAAGAATAAAAGAAAATGCAAGAAATTAAAGATGGTGGATTCAATTATAGATATGGGTGATCTAAAATTGAACCCACTTCTTTAGAAAAGGGTAATTCCCTAGAGGATTCTAGCCTAAAGACGAATCAAACAAAATAAAAATAAACAAAAATCAAAACTAAACCCAAGAGGGTTCTAGCCTCAAGGTGAATAGTGCAAAAAATTAAAATCTAACTACAAAATAAATTGTAAAATCTAAACTACAAAATAAATTACAAGAATTAAATACAAGAAAATAAATCTACTCTATAAGCATGAAATAAATCTAATCTATAAGCATGAAATAAATCTAAGACAAGAGGGTTCTAGCCTCTTGGCTATTTAACAAGAAAATAAAATCTAACTATAAGCATAGAAAGAAATCTAAACTAATAAGCAATAAAAAAGAAATAAAAGAGAAAAAGAAAAGAAATGTAAACCTCTAAATAATTCTTCATCTTCGTCTTCATCATCCAACAAAGAGAAGAAATATTTAAAATGGTGAAAAAATTATTATTATTAATTGTAATAAAAAGTTATAAATTTGGAAGGCCTTCTCAATTAAGAGTAGTCCTCCTTTCCAAAAGGAGTTACAAAAATTTTCACCCCTCTAACCCCTCACTCTCTACCCCTATTTATAGTAAACATCAGTGAATGTGAGCCATTGGATCAAAATCTTATCCAAAACAATTGATTTTCAGCCATTGAAGCATAACAGACTCCGTTGGTATCGATGCCAGCATCGATAGGGGTATCGATGCTGGCATCGATATGGGCATCGATGCTAGCATCGATCCCCCCATCGATGCTGGCATCGATGTCAGCTATTTCCTGGTTGTTGTCCGCAGATCCCTCTTGAGTTTGCTCTTGGGCTTGGGCCTTGGACAATTTCTTGGCAATTTTGGGCTTTAATACTTCATTAAATATTTGAAATAAATTGTTTGGCTTCATGGACTTCATTTCTTCAATAAATCAAGGGGTTTTTGTTGAGAGATGGGAGTTTGAGATTTATTCTTCATTAACCTGTATTTAAAGATAAAAGCAATTATTAGTGGCATATTTATTCCTATAAAATAGATAATGAGGGTATAAAATTATAATAAACTGTGATTATCAATGTTATTCAAATTAATTCAAACTTATCTCAACAGAAAGGCAATTGAGTCTAGTTTTAGGAATAGAAAGAATTTCATGCATGCATGGTATATGTTGAGATATATGCTCTTTACAAAGGACATGACTCAGACAGACAGTTTCAGACACATGCACTGTATTAAATCATACTTTAAGACTAGTAAATGATTTTAGAATTAAACAAACAGGGTCTCAAATGAAAGCCACAAAATTCTAGTTTCTATAACAGAAAGAATTTCATCATTTGAATATGTCCAAAGAAAGTTATGATCGTTTTACTAGGAGAGTATCTTGCTGGAAATTTCTGTACGAATTTCTGTTTCAACATAAAATTAACATGCAACCCATATTTACACTAATCCAAAGTAAGATGATTAATATTTGATCACATAAGGCTTATAAACCAGTAAAAATTATATTTTATATACTCATAGATATAAAGATCATGTTTTTATAACTAATTATGGACATGCAAGGACCAATCCTTGCTTCAAAGTAACATGCAATGATAAAATCCTCACATGCAAGGCCAAAACCAAATTAGATCATATAATTTCAGTTTAATATACTTAATAATAACATGAAAAAGAGCATTATACCTAGGGTTGAGACTTTCTCCATTTTCTCCTCTAAAATCCTCCACTATCTTCTTTCTCCTCACCTTCTTCTTCAATCTTTAGAGCTCAAGAGATGATGCTTATGGAAATCTATGAAATTTTTTTTTTTTTTGAACAAGAGGAGATGAGCTTGGGATGTTCAGAGGAGAGGGAGGAGGTTTTGGAGTGATTTTTCTTCTTTTATGGCAAAAAAAAAAAGAAGTGGAGTGCACATATATATAGGCCATGTGAAGAGAAATCTTCAATTTGGCCAAAGTTGAGGGGTTTTATGCAAAATTTCCCCACTAACATGGCTAAAAAAATATAATAACTATGTTAATTAGAGAGTTTCACATTAGGTATTTAATAATTTGGTTATCTCTAATCAAGGTTTAAAACATGGTTAACTTAGGTTTACAAGCTAAGTTTGTATGCATACTATGACTTAGTTAACTAGATCATAATATGAAATTTGTCTAAGTTAAAATCCTCATGCTAGAAGATTATATGGAATACAAAAAGGAAAGAATTACTAATTTATAGATAGGTATTGCTAATGGTATCCGGTCATCGGAAGGGGAAAAAGCAATGTTACATCACCTCCTCGAAATTCATATGGCTTTTCAGCATCCATACACCTGAGCATGCTCTCGACTTATTCTCCTTGGCGGATTAAGTCTTTCCACGAGTGAGCTACGACTGCACCCATATTAGATAGGATGTCGATGAAAAGATTGTTCGGGCACATCTCAATGAGAGTGGCCTTAGAAACCTGATCATGTGTATGCAGCGATCGGTTCCTGAATCTCTTGACAAAGTGGCTCACAGACTCTGTCTTCTTCTACTTTATAGCTAGCAGGATGGCCACATATACTTCTTTATCATCGTCGAAGAATCTGTCCATGAAGAGCCTTTCTATATCCTTCCAGCAGGTGATGGATTCAGGCTCCAATCTGCGAAACCATTCAAAAGCGACCCCCTTGAGGGTGCCAATGAACAGTCAAGTCATAATGGGATAATTTCCCACTATGTGTCCAGTTTACGCCTGGAAATAGTAGATATGTTGGGTAGGAGAACCCTTGCCGTTGAACTACAGGAGGTCCAGTGGCTGAAACTTCGCCGGGTAGGAGACTGTATCCCATTCGATCAGATATGGTCTGACAACCCCCAGGTTGTTCATGTGCTTCTGGGCTTCAAGGCGTCGAGTTGATTTTGGAACTCGTCGAGCCTTTTGTCTCTTGGATTATTACTCGAAGATGACGCTCCTCTAGATGACTCGGATGAGGAGTGAGAAGGAGTAGGCGCCCGCTCTTTGTGCTTCAAGGATTTCTGCAAAGTCCGCGAAGTCCTCCCTTTCTTCTTCTTCTTCTCGCTTAGAAGCTGCTCCAACATATTCTTCAGGGAGTTGATGGTTGCTTGTTGCTCATTGAATCTCCTGGATATCTCATTAGGGATTTCGGTCATGTGCACATTTGCGTGCTCACCCTGAACTAAGCTTGAGGCTTGCGACGTCGCTACTTCCGAGCAATCATCGTCGTCATTGTCAGAGATGGGTGCTAGGCGCGTGTAGTCAAACGGAATGGCCACCCGGTGCGAGTGTGTTGGTAGATACCTTCACGCTCAATGGCCTTGGACTTTCCCGTCACATTGACAGTTGCGACGGGGAACTCCCCATCATTGGAAGCTTGTCTCTTCTGACGATTGCGTCTTTGACGAGGATGTCTTGACACTGCACCACACTGACATCCAGTGAGTACATCCATAATAAGCTTCTCGCAGCGCTACCGAGGGATTGCCTTGCATATAGTGCATTTGTGAGTCAGGCATTCTCTGGGATCCGCAAGTGTTAGAATCTAATGAGCTTGCCTTGACAGGCTAGCCTGGGCATGTCGGCTAAGTTCAGCGTGGCGAGGCCCACCCTGTTGCGTAAGATTGGTGCAGTGTGCTGGTCTGGCGAGCTGCCGCTTCAGGCGAAGGTCGGCTTGCAGACGAAGTTAGGCCTTTTGGTGAACTTGGGCATGTTGGCGGAGTTCGAGCTGTCAAGCGAGCTTGATGATGTTCGCTTGTTTTATGAAGTCCTCCTGAACTACAGAGTTCACCATATTTGCTAAGTTCGCCAAATTTGGGAAGCTCGCCTAAAGAGAGGAGCCCGCCTGCGTAGGTGGGCTTGCCTGAGTTGCGGAGTCCACCCAGATGGGGAACTCTGCTACTGTAGGAGAGTCCGCCTAAATAGGTGGGCTCTCCTGAGTTGCAAACATGGCCCGTAAAGTGAAGTCCTCCCGAATTGGGGGCCTCGCCGACTCATCTAAAATGGGTAGCTGACTTGTAGAGTTAATCCCGCCTGACTTGTCGAGTTCGTCTGAATTGAGGAACTCGCCTGATCGATTCAATTCACCAAAATTGAAAGACTTATGTTTTGGTCGGGTCTCTTCAGGCCTGAATAGTAATTCAGGCCATCATAGGGGACGGGGGCTTGCGTCTTTTGGCGTGCGAGAGATTGTCATCGTTGCTTCTTAGCTCTTTTAGAGAGGGGGTGACTTATGTCGACGGCAAAGGCGAGGTCGCCGACGTGCACCAAGGTCTCCTCTTGCATGGGGGCCTGCGGGGATCGTTCAACAATCCATCAAGCAGCCCTTAAACTTGCATCCCTTGCCTTTGGCTCATCCATGATGGGCTTGGGGGAGATAGAACCCCCTATGCTTGCTCGAGTGGAGTTCTCCGGCGTGGTTGTCTCGGCCACTTGAGGCTGGGCCACACGCGTAACTCTGTAGCACTTGCGAGACGCATTGCCGCCAGAAAAGGATGAAGATAAGTATTCCTCAAACTCGATCACGAGTGACTCAACAGTTGTCCCCGTCGCAATTTCGTCAAACTGTACCACCACCATTTCGGTTGAAGAAATGGTTTCTCCCACTGTGGTCATCATCTTCTGTTGGATGTAAAAAATTGACTTCCTGGTGAGGGGTTGTTTGTGTTTATAAGAATAGTTTATTACAAACTACAATCAATGTTTTACAACAGAGGAGAAGGGAATGACCCTTCTTGTTTAATGTGGGTTCGTCGACAGCAGTAGGACGCCTCCCATGGTGCTTGAGCCAAGTTTGCTTCCCTTGGACGATCTGTTCGAAGTTGCGGTTGAGCTTCAGTACACGGTAGAAGCTTTGGTATGGTTGAGTTCGACTACCTGATCTTGAGAAATATCAAGGTTGGAAGCTTAGAGAGGGCTGTGATTATAAGAGTTTGCAAAGAGCCAATGAGCCTCAGATCTAAGAGTTCAGATCGAGTCTATCTCAACAATCTAAACTTACAGCCAGGAATGTTCTACCAAGCAAGTGAGCCAAAACAAGTCTCTGATTAAAGAGCCTTGAGTATGAAGAATGCCCCGTCAACCCACAATCAGTCGCCAGCCCCTAGCTCTCCAGTTTCAAAAGAGCTGTCGAGAATAAAAATATTCCAAGCCCCGCATCACAATCATAGCCAGCCAATAGGAGAGCTAAAGATAGTTAAGTCTCTGCAATCTTCAAGCCGAGCAAATGAGGGAACCTTTAGCAAATGAGCCAAGGTTCACGCTTTGGAAGTGGATGATTAGCCAACCAAAACTAGGCAGTCAATCAACCCCTTTCACATTGGCTGAAAGTGGCTTTAAATAGGCAAGTGATGGCATGGGCCATCCCTTGACTTGTGGGATTTGACCACTGGTAGACCATGCCTCCCTAGTTGTGGGATGTGACTACCTACAGGGTCCTACCAACCCCCCTATTCTTGTAGCTTGCCAGCCGCCCTCTTCTTATAGCCATCAATGGCTATTAGGAGAGTTCTGGCCATACCTAGCCTAGGTGAGGAGCGCCATGCTCTTTAGCTATGGGATGTGACCGTTGATGTGACTTTCCTATACTCCAAGTGGGTAGCTGACAAGTGAGCTTGACTAGGCGTTCAGACGAGCTGGCTCTTGGGTCTGCAGTCGAGCTTCAAGCTATTAGACGAGTCCGACTCGTGCTGGCTAGTCGGCCAAACAGGCGGGGTTGTCGAGTCGTCTCGGTCGAGTCGTCTTCGGGGGGGCGACTAACTCATGCT